ACACCGATACTCGCCGTCATAATTGGACGACTTCCTTATCCCCGCTTGTTTTTCTTTCTCTACCCTTCCTCCTAGCAGAATCTCTTTCTCACGCGAAACATTGTTTGAAAAAAGAAGCAATACAGGATATGACAGCGTTTGAGAATTTATAAATTTTTCAAATTTAATGTTAATATTTTTGTATATATTTATCAATATTGTATAATTTCATTGTTTATAAGGAATCTTGCGAAGATGTACAAAATTTCTAAACACAAGCAAATTATAAATAGTAATGTTTCCTGTATTAGCAATTTAATCAAAGAATTAACTCGTCCGAAAACATAATGTAATACATGGCGGCGTCTGTTTTGATAAAAATGCCAATTCTTCATTGATAATGATCCGACAAGATGTGCAAGTTTTCGTTGAAAAAAATACGCACTGCATATTGATAAATTATAAAGATATTAATAAATTTTACAAAATTTAAAAACCATTTTGACAAATTATCTTTAGAAATCTTTATGGTTTATTTTTGAAAATCTAGAAATTGTTGTAGACTATATCAATGTAAGTTGATAAAATAAATAATAAATAGACTTTAAACCGCGAAACACAAGAATTGATATTCGAGACAAGCGAAAACTCCCAATAAATGCACTTCTTTCTCTGTACATTTATCGATTACATCTCGATCGTGTAAAAAAAACTCGCTTCAATTATTGAAAAGCAAAGTTGTTTGAATTTTACGTGTCACTAACAAAAATCCAGTCACTTTTCTCTCTTTCTCTCTCTCTCCCCCTCCTTCCCTTCCCGCGAGAACGGCAAGTTTTGAAACAAACTTTACTTTATCGTGGCTCGATTGTGGAGGATGGGGGGACCCGGCAGGACCGAGCTTTTCCCTTCCATCCCTACCCCATCCACGGGTTCTCCGCCAAGTAAAGTTGCTCCCAGGTTAGACAATAATTGGATAACTTCGCCCTCATAGCGCGCCCCATCCCGTTCGTAACTCCACTCACTCCCCTGTATTCCCACCTCCGCTTTTGTCCTTCGCATCCCCTCTTCGTCCTCTAAGCACTGATCTGTCCGTCTTTGTCTCTCTGAATCGAAAGGCTCTGTTGCATACCGGGATTAAGTCGAAGGGTTGAGTTTAACCACTTGGTCGAGGCGTCCCATTTAAGGGATCGTATATTCTTTACTTACTAATCCAAATTATAGAAGCATGTCATTCTTAAATATCGAGAAGTATATACATCTACACGAGACTTGAGAGCGAGAAATTATATTTAATTTAAATCTTATTGCTAATCATCAAGTAATTTATGTTATTTTTTTATAAAAAAATTCGACTAAAAAAATATATAAAGCACTATTGTTTATTTAGAGTATACGATATATATTGTGTATCGGTTTCGGATCAAAAGTTTTCAATACATGTATATACACATCATAAACAAAAACACATCTTGGTTTATTAATTATACAAGTGCATATATAATACACTACAATGTAATTAAACCATTGTATTTATAATAGTATTATAATATTTGTTTATGACGATTATTACAGAGCGATTAATTTACCTGTCACTTTTTGCGCGCGCGCGTACACACTCCTTTTTTTTTTTTCTTTCCAAAGTATACTTCCTTGATGCAGTTGAGCGGCGCATATACATAATGCGTGATATACGCTACCAGCTGTCGAACAAGGGCTTAATCTCGCCCTCCTCTCCTCTTCTCGATGATAGGAGCTTACGTTTTCGCTGAGTTGGCACAACATGTGCCCAAGTCAAAGTGCTTGGCTCGGCAGAGTTCGTAGCGTTAGTGTCGCGTCCTCGTAGCTCGCTTTCGCTGAGGCCAGCAGCGATCTCGTTTTCCATAGCCTTCCTTACGCGTACTACATTTCCGATTACGCACGTCATCTTAAGTTACTGTATATGTGTAATGCGTGTAAGCACTCACAAATTCCAAAATTCAGCGGCTCTGTACAAATATATTCCACAAAATATTGTATATAAATAAAAAAAAGAAATTAAAACAAAAGATTAAATAACCGACGATAAAAACAATAAAAGATGAAAGAAAAACTATCGTATACGAATATAAATGAAATACGGAAATTGAAAGGATAGAATAGAGAACGCGCAAAAAAATTCAAGTTAGGATAAACACATTACAATGAAAAGAAAATACAACTTTATTTTCGTTATTTTCTCTTTGTACTCTTTTATTTCAAGGATATTATATTTTTTTTCAAGTCGTCTGCATGTAAAATTAAAATTTCGAAATATATTCTGTATAACGATTTTTATTTGCATTGTAGCAACTGCAATATTGTACGTCAATATTACCTTATCCATTTGATGCGACATTTGAATCATGGCATGCGAATATTTGTCGAATGAAGACATTGCATTTAGAACTATCTCATTGCCACGAGATAGTTCACTCGGAACGATTACACAGTACTCCACTTGTACATATATATTTAATAAGTTTATTTTCCATGATGAGAGGAGAGAAGAAGAAAACCGACTTGTATTATCGTTTTTATTAAAGTATACTTGAAAGCTAAAGTATATGTAAAAATTGCAAATTGTTAATTGATATAATTTCGCATCATTCTTTAATAATTATAATAATTAAAAGTATCAAGACAATAAAAATCCACGCAAAACATAAGTTATAAAATTAACGATATAACAAAAATTTAAATTAGATTTAAAGTTGAAGGTTACAAGGTCCAAGCTAATGAAGGGAAAATTAAAATTAAAAAATTATAAATTGATAATAATAAAACTATATAAAAACGTAACTGAAATGTCTAAGATAATAAGGTCGTAGAGTTGAAATTAATAGTAAAAGTATTTTAGTAAGTATTTTAGTAAGTAACTAAATGTAACAAAGCTAAGCCTAAAGAAAAAAATTAATGCATCTAAAGACACGATAAGTTTAAATTAATAAAAGATCTGTCATCTGTGAATCTTTGTCAAAGTGCCATTCCGATAATTGTGAGATGATCCATGACATTCGTGTGAGGGCGCCACTTGTTAGTTGGCTTTCTTCAATTCATGATTTGATAAAACTCCATGTTTCTATAAAACTGTCAACGTTCCTTTGATTAATAACGTTAAAGTAATTTAATAAAATATAACTAACATTTCAATTCTTAAACACACAACTAATGTACTCGTGTATTTAAATAAGTGTGAATTTTGAATTATAATAGCTTTGCGATAATCTTTTCGTTCCTTTTGTTCTCCATCAATTTATGACGCATCCTGCATAATTGCAATATTAGCGTAATTTTAAAAGCTAGCACATTTCAAAATTAAATATTAATTACGCTTTCTCACGTGCATTTATTACTAGAGTACGTGATGTTACACTAGGGAATATATTAGCAACAAATATACTAGAGAAAAGAGAGAATGTTTTTTTTGCGTGCAACACTTTCGCGAACAGTAATGATCATTTTCCAATCACTGTCCTTCATTTACACGTTTCTATGTCACATACAAGTCTGTCTCATTAATATTTCATCTTTCAATATTTGACACATGTAAAAGATAAAAAATGATATTAAAAAGTAGACAATAAAATACACAGATTACACACAATATACTAAATTAATAAGACATGATTTTCAAATTTCAACCGATTCTCATTCAAATATTGAGACATTTACCCACATAACATGTCGCGAAAGATGCGCAGATAGATGTAACAATCGAAATACGCTCTTGCACATTTTTCCTGCATTTTTCCGATATATTCCGATATAATCGAGCGATGAAGAGAAATCGCAGGCAAGGAATAAAGCGCGTAGAAAGTGCAACACTTGCGAACGCGGACGTTAATAACGATTGGTTTTCAATCGGTCTCGTCGCCGCCGCCGAAAACGAGTTGGAAACGGGTCCGCCTGTCCGCGCGCGCGGTCGCGAGAGAGAAAGAAGACGGGCTCTCGCGCTATTAACGCTACCGAAAACATCAGCCCCAGCGCCCTCGAGCGAGCGAGCGCCGCTGTGGCGTGTGGCGTGCCGTGCCGTTCCGTTCCGTTCCGTTCCGTGCCGTTCCGTTTCGTGCCGTTACGTACCGCATCTGCGAGAGCGCCTTCTTCTCCCCGGGTTGCTGTGCGCAGTTCGGTTCCCGGCTCCCTTTTCCGTTTCGATTCTCATTTTTTTCTCGCCGATCGTTCTCGCGACGCAAACCTCGTCCCGTTCGTCGTCGTGTTCCAAGTCCAGAGGCGGTCTGAAATTCGGTGTCGGTGGCTAACCAGCCAGTTACCCAACGCGCTATCGTATTGCGCAGGTTAAGCCGGCGCAATTCAAGGTAACCTAAAAAGTCGCGAAGCGAAGCGAAGCGGCGGTGGCGAGCGACTCGAGCACGCCGTTTCGCCGAGCGCGATGCCTCCCTTGTGCCTCTCGGGGTCGTTTAGATGTAATCGGAGTCTCGTTCGTATTTCGAGAAATGGTCGCGAGACGTCGGCTTGTTGATGGAAATAGTCCCGTGCGTCTCGCCTCGTCGCTCTCGCGACGTCGCTGCGATAGAATTGGAGCATTTATTTCCACGCGGGTGATAAATCCCCGACAATGCGTGTTTGTAGGATATGGCGCAGCCATCTCGCCAACTTTATCTTTATTGTCAAAAATTTACCTTTCGTCTCGGCCGTGAAATAATTGCGAATGGCGACACAGTATATAATGTAATATATAGACTAGCGTGGAATATGTAATATATACTTTGTGTGAATTAACATCATTGTATGTGAAATTTAATGTATGTATGTAATGTCTCGCAATAGAGATTTATGTCTCCACGAGACATATAATCAATTGATGATAGCGAAAGGAACTTGATAAATTATTGTCGCGTTAGAAATTGCAATATAATAATACAGCGGAAGTGATAGAGTGACAGCTACGAAAGCTTAAGCTAAGCTTCATATTATAAATATATAAATATATATATATAATGTGTATATTATAAAATTTATTTTTGACTTTGTATAAATTTCAGGAGACGGTATTTATTGAGCCGTGATGAGTTGGAGATTCGGCAGTTCCTGCCCGAAGACCGACCAGAAGTCAGTGTTGCAAAAGCAGTTTGTGTGACAAAGCCGGAAAAACAAGGAGAGTGCTGAAACATTGTACTAGTTGGACTAGAAGAGGCATCTCCGCTGCGAGTGTCTTGTTGATAGATAGATTCTGTCGTCTTCTATCGTTGTTGGAGGGAGAGTGGAAGGGGGAGGGCAGCGTTCGTAATTTTTCTTTCTAGTGACACTGAGAGCGCACAGTGAAAACAATAAAAATAGGGGGGGCGGTCTGCTGACCGATGGACAAACGGAAGATGATGCCCAAACGCCCTCGTATGGAGAACTTGAGGGGTCCGATTGCCAATGGACCGATTCAGACACGACCACTGGTTGCGCTTCTCGATGGTCGCGATTGCTCCATTGAGATGCCCATTCTCAAGGATGTCGCGACTGTTGCCTTTTGTGATGCGCAGTCTACTTCAGAGATACATGAGAAGGTAATCAAAGGTGTTAAAATTTTCTTCTAGTCAGAAAATTTTTTAGAAATATTCAAGAATATCAAATAGAACAACATACATATATGTAATATTTGTATATATATGTAGAATTAGAATTAATATTTTGTAGAATGTTGCGGAATAATATATAAATATTCATGAAAAATATTCAAGAAAATGTTAGATTAGAATTTTTTAAGGCAGATATTAAAATACCGAAATATTAAAATTTGCATATTAGAACAAGACATGCAGATTGCTGTAACAATTAATTAAATTTGAGACAAATTTTTTTTAGAGTTTTTAGTAAGGATTTTTTTATCAATGTTACCATATTATTGTAAACATTGGTTAAAAGTTTTGCAGAATCATTTGAGTTGAATTTTATTAATTTAAGAAATATTCTATATATCTTTTCTAATATTTACCTACTCTTTTTCTATTTACATTATATATTGAGCAGCTATTTGATGAATTAAAAAAGTGATATTTTAATAGATAATATAAATCACAAGTATATTTTTGTTGAAATAAATCTATTTCGATGAATTTTTTTATATATAATTGAACAAGAATTTAGTAAAGTTTTTATTTAGATTTTTATCAATCTAGGCAAGTAATAAATACAATGGTAATAGAAACAAAATTCATATACATATATATATATATATATATATAAATTAAAAATGACACTTGACAATTTGCTTTAACAACACACATTTAGTTCATATTTTCTTTCTCTCAGTCATATATAGAATAAAAATTAGGACAAAAATTTAAATTTTTTAATAATTTGATCCATGTTTCAGCTATTTTGGGTTTTACAGATTTGCATGATTCCAGTTGGCAATTTATTATACAAATTCATATTTAATTTGTATATTTGAAAGATTGATTTAAACATTAAAAATAATGTTGTATAATTTATTAAGGATAAGAGAAGAAGTTTATTTTTAAAAATAAAAATAAGAAAATTAGTATTTTTATTATCATCAATTATTTTTTATGTATTTATTTTTATTGCATTTATTATAAAACTTATAAAGCGCACAGAAAGTATATTTTGAAGAATGTAAAGTTCTACATAGTATTTTATAAAATATATTAAAATAAAGTGTATTAAGTGTACATTTTAGAAACAGCAATTGGATACAATATATACAACTAAGCGCTATCATATATAAAAAAAATAACATATATACAGTGGCATAATAAATAATTGGACAAAAATAAATGATAACACAAATATTATAACGACAAATATGTAATAAAATTAAAAGATTACTTATTTAATAAGCAAAATGTTTTTAACTGAGTTTACACATTGAATGAAACTCTGAAATTTTCAAAACAAAACTATTTAATTGGCTTCAATCACAAAAAAGTTAATTCATGTAGTAACTTTATTTTGTTTATATCTCTATTTTATAAAAAAATGTTTACATTATATATCTCTTCATACGCAGCATATCTTACATATCTATAATTTTTTCTACTTCTAATGTAATATATATAGTGTATATTTGATATTTTATATTTAATAGATTTCTCGAAAAAATTGTTTTGTAATAATTAAGAGAAATATTACACGTTTGAAAATTGATATAATGTGATTTTCAAATAGGTATTAAATGAAGCAGTGGGTGCACTGATGTGGCACACGATAATTTTGACAAAGGAGGATTTGGAAAAGTTCAAGACGCTGCGAATTATCGTCCGGATTGGTTCCGGCGTGGACAACATCGATGTTAAGGCGGCCGGCGAGCTCGGTATTGCAGTGTGTAATGTGCCTGGCTATGGCGTTGAGGAAGTGGCCGATACGACTCTTTGTCTTATACTAAATCTTTATCGACGCACTTATTGGCTTGCGAATATGGTGCGCGAGGGCAAGAAGTTCACAGGACCAGAACAAGTAAACTTTCTTATATTCAGCTATTACTATTAGAATTATATTATTATTGTTGAAATATTATTATTATTTAAAAATGTTAGATAATTTTTTATATGATATAAGTGTTATTTGTGTGCGCGTATTTCAGGTGAGAGAAGCAGCAACTGGTTGTGCAAGGATACGGGGTGACACATTAGGTATTGTAGGTCTCGGTAGGATCGGTTCCGCTGTTGCGTTGCGTGCCAAAGCTTTTGGCTTTACTGTCATCTTTTACGATCCTTATTTGCCAGACGGCATCGAGAAATCACTAGGTCTCACTAGGGTTTACACATTACAGGTCTGCATACTTTATATTTATTATGAAACTATAAATTGACTTTAATTGCATTAACTGTTAGACCGATTTGGAATAAATTTGGATATAAATTCTTTAATATATTATTATTATATGTAACATTTAATAATAATATATTAGGGAGTTTATATTTTAATAAGTTTGTACACATGTTGTAAAAATGTTATATTTTATATCTATCATAAATCTTATTTTAGAAATTAATTTTAATCATCACATTTTTATTTCAAGATATATATACATTTTTTAATATAAATTATTGTATATAAATTTATATAAATTTTTGTTCCAACTATCTATAAAACATAAGTTTCTTGGACATTATTGATTAACGATTTTATTTATTTTAACGAATAATCAATTATTGTGTTATTATTGTGAATAATCAGTTTTAAATTATTACATGTAAAGATATAAATTAAATTTCTCAATGTAATTTTAATGTAAATTGTAATTTTATATTTCAAAGAGAAAACTCAAATATTTAATGTTATATTTAACGAGTAGAATATAATAATCAGAAAATTTTTTTTACAATTGGTTATCTTTTTAATAAACAGAACATTTTAAATAATTATTTATTTACTTTTTAACCAAAGTTATTATTTGTTATAGGATTTGCTATTTCAATCAGACTGTGTATCTCTACACTGTACCTTGAACGAACACAATCACCATCTAATAAACGAATATACTATCAAACAGGTATCCGTGGACATATGTACATATATACGCTATATTTATACATGTATGTGTGTCAATTTGTGTGGTTATAAAATTATAAGAAATATTTATAAAGCCTTCGATTAATACATAAAGGCTTTAAATTCAAGCACAACTTAATCGATTTTACAATAATCAATTTTATTATATTACAAAAGAAATTAATTTTATAATAGACACAGTATTTTTGGAGAATTATTTTTATTTATTAATTTTTAGAAATTTATTAATATTTAGATATTATATTTAGAGAGAAAAAGAAAATTGATTTTATACATTATTATTTACTATAAAGCTGAGAAATTTCTGAAAATATATTATCAAATTTTATTTATTTTATTTGAATTAGTTATGACAAAATAAATTAATAATTATATAATAATAACTTGTTGACACATATATATACTTCAATAAAAATGATAGTATAAGTTAATTACGTTATAAGAAAAAAAAAACATTATGCATATGTCTATAGATGAGACCGGGAGCATTTTTAGTCAATACAGCGCGAGGTGGTCTAGTGGACGACGATGCGCTTGCCGCAGCGCTCAAACAAGGTCGAATTCGCGCGGCTGCGTTAGATGTCCATGAAAACGAGCCATACAACGTCTTTCAGGGTCAGTCTAATCAGTGTGAGTCTTATCTGTCCCGGTGCCTAACTTCCATCTCGACTGACTATTTCTTACCTTTCCAAACTTCCTCCATAACTTATAAAAGAAAGAAAAAAAGATAACAGCGACATGAAAGAAAAAAAATAAGAAAAAGAGAAGCAGTCATAATGAAGATGTATATTTTATGGTAAAAATAATCCTATATAATTTCTGGCAATTCTATGTGTGTGTGTGTATATATGTGTATGTATATTTTATATATATATATATATATATATATATATATATATATATAAAATTGGTGAAAATATTATTGAGAATAGATTAAATTACTAAACAAGTTTCTATGCAATTTTATTTATTTGTTTTTGTTATTTTGTGCTCAATATTTAGAATATCCATAGAAAAAAAATTATTACATACCATATTCCACATTATTATATATCACACACTACAAGATTATTCATGACTTTTATACATAGAGGAAAATTGCCAGTTTTATAATCTCATTTTTCTATTATATGCATCTTCTGTGATACAGCATCAACTATATTGAATTATATTTGCATGCTTGCATTTGCTTGATTTTTTTGATTATCAATTTTGCAATGTATATTGTGCAGGTCCATTGAAAGATGCGCCCAATTTACTGTGCACCCCACACGCCGCCTTCTATAGTGATGCAAGCTGCACGGAGTTACGTGAGATGGCGGCGAGCGAGATACGACGGGCGATCGTCGGTCGCATACCCGACTGCCTGCGCAACTGCGTGAACAAGGAATACTTCCTTTCCTCGACTGGGTAAGCGCCTCTTCCCCAGCCAGGCTCTGTCTGCCTGCCTCCCCCTGCCTCCCGCGATTTTCAGAGTTCGAAAAAATAATTAAAAAAAAGTCTGTCTCACGATTTGTTGAATAAAAAGAAAAAGACGTAGACGGATATTTTTATATATATATACATATATATATATATGCAGTTATATTGACGCAGTATATTACATTTATATACGATGTTTACATTCCTCTCTCTTCTTTTTTCTTTGATTGCAAATCACCGGGGGAAAAGGGATACAGTGACTGTCACGAAATTGATCAAATTTGTGCAAAAAAATTATCTATAGAGATCCGTATTGTATATTTTAGAAGTATATTTAATTATTTGTATTTTTCTATAGCATAAGCTATACAAATGTATTAAAAATGTATCATTTATATATTTTTTCTGATAACGCGAAATGTAAAAATTTGTTTTTACATATGCCTGCTCTCTTCTCCCTCCTTCTTATTGTATTAAGGCTCCTGGTCCCTCACTGCAGCGCCATTTTAAGTTATAATATTTAAAAAATCGCATGAATTCTTTTTCTCGCACTATGCGTCGAATTAAATTAGCTTTTTTGATGACTTTTAAAAAACCAAAAAATGTAGACTTTGATTCATATTTGTATTCACATATTTGTACGATATTAATAGATCAATCTTGATCGATTATTAAATTTATTCTCTTGAGAATAATACAATAATACAATAATACGCGTACATGGATTTATTAAAAAATAGTAATTAAAAAAGAATTTTCAATATATTTTATCAATTTATATTTTCAAATATAAATGTGATAGCAAAGCTAATTTACTTCGATTCGTATTAGCGAGAAAAATAATTCATGTGATTTATCGCTTCTGACTTTATAATCTTTTTGAGACAAATGTTGATTTGTATATATATATATGATATACTCTCTGCTCTTTCTAAAAAATCAAGACAAGAGTTGCGTGTATATGGCGCTAATCTTAAAACATATAACTTATTACATTGGGTTATGATTAGGGTTGCCAAATCCAAATATTTAAATTACATTTTGTCTTTAGGACAAAATCTAACTGGACAGTAAACATAAAACTACATTAAATACAAAATTTCAAGAAACTCTCTCTCTCTCTCTTTTTCTCCCTCTCTCTTTTCCCTCTCTCTGTCTCTGTCTCTCCTCCCCTCTCCCTCCCTCCATTCTTTCTCTTTCTTCTTTCTCTCACCTCTCTCTTACAATATTGTTTTTCAAACAATTTTAGAAACGTCCGGTGTCCAGTTTGACTTGTCAACCAGACACCGGACAAGACTCCTAAAAACCTGACAGTCCGGGTCAAAACTGGACGGTTGGCAACCCTAGTTATTATGATGTCATAATACCGTAAGACTGATTGAAGAGAGCGAGAATCTTTTTGTTATTTCTATATAAAAATATTTATTATTAATATAAATATATTATGTATAAAAAAAAAAAAAAAAAAAAAAAAAAAAAAAAAAAAAAAAAAAAAAAAAAAAAAAAAAAAAAAAAAAAAAAAAAAAAAAAAAAATACAATTTTTTATTTTTTTAATTTTTTTTATTTTTGTTTATTTGAATTTAAGAAATGAATTAATCATGTTAATCTATATTTAGAATAATTATAAAGTTATAAAAAAAAAAAAAAAAAAAAAAAAAAAAAAAAAAAAAAAAAAAAAAAAAAAAAAAAAAAAAAAAAAAAAAAAAAAAAAAAAAAAAAAAAAAAAAAAAAAAAAAAAAAAAAAATTAAATAAAAAAATAAAATTATGCTTAAGATAGTTATAAAGTTATGAAAAACACTTAACATATACACTTAACATATACAAATCTTAACATTTGTTAAGAAAGAAAAGAAAGGTTTAAAATTATTTATATAAAAATAAGAGCTCCATTTCTTCCAAAATTCATTTAAATTTTTTATTAAAGCATTTTTCGTAAAATACTAAGAAAACAATGCAAGAATTTTAGAAAAATGCTAAAAATAAAAGGATAGAATTTTTTATTTGTTTGTAGAGAGAATTGAAAAGAAGATTTTTCTTCAATAAGGAAGAATCTTAATAAGAATTTTTGAAGTTGCTGAAAGAAGAAAATTAAGCATTGAAATGTGTCCAGTTGAATTATCTAAGATGGCGCAATTGCAACAACAAGGAGAGAGGAGCCAGAAACCTTAACTAAAATTTAACGGAAAAAAATTCTTAAAATATTATTAGATCAATTTCGTGATATGAGTAACACTGTATCTCTGGTAATTTTCAGAAACGGCTTTTCGAGCAGATGTTAACTTCTCTTCTCTTCCGAGTGAAAGTCCGAAAGCGATCGTGAAACTCGAGCGTGACAAAATCTCTCGATGCGTGTGTGTATAGAGTGTAAAGACTAAGCGCTTAGACGAGACTAATAAAGATAATAGAAAACGAAAGAAAGAGACAAAGAAAAAGACGATTCCGTTCTCGGGAATCTCGATGACCTGTGTGTGCGTTCTCGCGTTCCTGTTCTCGTTGGCGAGGAACGATTGCTACTCTACCTAGAGCACACCTAGAGCGCCACTTAGAGAGTAACGAAAAGTCACACACAGAGTCAAAAAGAAAAAGAAAATTGGAAGCTACTCTACACACTACAAATAAAAGCTACTCTACTACATAAGTACTGAAAAAAAAGTGGCGCGCGAAATTTTCAAGGTCTCGCCCATGATGTTGTTTTTCGCTTTCTCTTTTCTTCAGCAGTTACTCCGAGGGCATCAACGGCGGATACTATGCTGGGGCGCTGCCGGTACAACAGACAGCGCATTCGACGACTCCTCACGATACTGCGCCCCCACCCCCGGTGCCCGGTGCCGGCGGTGGACACTCCGTCGTCGGCGTAGGTGGCGGAGGTGGAGGTGGCGGAGGTAGCGGCGGCGGGGCCGGTGGTGGTGGGGGCGGGGGCGGCGGAATCGGCGGGCCCAACTCCTCGTCCTCGTCCGCCGTAACGGTGACGGGGGCCGCGGGCGGCGGGGCCGGCGGCGCGGGAGGTGCGGGCAGCGGGCCCGCAGGGCCGCAGGGCCCCCCTGCCGCGGTCGGCGGCGGCGGACCCCCGTCCGCCGCGGGCGTGGTGGGAGCGGCCGTCGCCGGCGGGCCTGGCGGCAGCGGTCCCGCGGCCGGGGCCCCCCCCACCGCCGGACTGCCCGGATTACCACACAGCATAGTGAGCGAGCCCGATCCCCGGCCGAGCCCGCCCGCCCCGAGCCCCCGTTGACCTTGAATAATATAATAACGACACCCCCCTCTGATAATGTGAACGAGCCACCCAGCCCTCCCCCCCAGTTATCTATCTTTTCGCCCCCTCCCGCGCCCCCGCCCCCGCCCCCGGCCCCTCCAACCCGACACCCCTCAAGTCACACACTAAACTCGAGCTGCTACGCGACTACCACATCGGCACAGCACTGCTACACCATCCCTAATTTTCTCTCCCCTGATGATTAGATCGAATCATTTAATCAGCTAACTGGAAGTAATTACTGTTACTTCTTCTCCAGCGATGGGAATAACGATGGCGAAAGAACGGCCGATACGACTGCCCCATAAAATCTGTCCGCTCCGCTTCTTCCGAGAAACTCTAGAGGGAATCTGTGCTTGAGAGAGAATGACGAAAAGAAGTAGACGAGAAGAACGGAGAGCAAGAAAGTATGAATGGAAGAAATAGCGAATTTTGTTGAATATTTAGTGCGCGCTCTGATGTGTATTAAAGGCTTGAATATAAATTGCTACATAAAGATTCGTATATAAATTGATGTAGAGATACATACACAAACTTTTGCGTAACGAGTGTACAAAAATGATACAAGTTTATACACAACTTTACACAAACTTTTGTATACAAATTGGAATAAAGATGTATGTATACATAAGTCGCCAAATTGGATTAGATGCCATCTTTCTACCACAAGTTTTATCACATCACATTGTTTGACGAAATATATGATGGTATTATTGTTACTCGACGAGAAAAATCGAATCTTGTATCTTTCTATTATTTACTACTTTTATTAAATCCTTAATAATATTATATCATTATATTAATTAATATTTTCGATATCTTAAGATCGATACAAAAAAATGATATTTATATTGATTATATTTATATTCTCTTATTGCCATATGAGAAACCTATTGAAATGACCAATAAAACCAATAGAATACAATTACGATTGTCTTTTTTTGGTTTATTAGCATAAAATCATGTCGAATTAGTAGGAAATTTTAAAACTGAACTGATAAAATTTAATGTTTCTCTAATTAATACATATTGCCTTAAAAGACTATTTGTACAATATTCTCGAAAATCTTGTATTATGTATAAGTAAATAAATATTTAGTAAAGATTCTTATATAAAGAATGATTACATACTTGAAATTTTATTTATCTTTACATCTTTATAGCAGCATTAAGGACATATATGTATAAAATTAAAAATGGAATATAAATTGAATCTACTTCTTTGATCAAGGCTCTTATATTTATGCCTCCGCTTAGTTTATATAAGCTAAAGCAAACTTTAATTCAAACATCAGTGCGCACTAATGCATTCAATCAAATTGGTTAGAAAAAAAAGAAAGAATGATAGAAACAGAATGTGTGTGCGCGCGTGTGTGTGGAGGGGTATGAAAAAGAATGAGCGCGCGCGCGCGCGTTTGAGAGAAAGAGAAAGAAAGAGAGCGTGAGCGCGAAAGGAATGCAAGTTGCAGTATACTTGTGCATATGCGTGATTTTCTGCTCACATTTTTACATTTGTAGAGCCGCACAGATAGAATGCATTTTGATGTAATTTTTGCGATTAAACCAAATACAGTTGGACAGAGCATAATGATGACAGTATAATGAAGACAGTCGATCTATCTCGTGATCTATCTTCCGGTTTCTGGTAATTTTATACAACACAAATTTGTTTGGTTTAGCCGCGCTGTTTCTCGCTTTTTTTTTTCTTACACGAGGAATTTAGGAAAAAAATATCTAAATCTTACAATAAATGAAAAATTTAATTAGGCTATAGGAGAAATACTATTAATTAAATAGAAGTGATATATATTAAGATTTGCGAATGTATTCAATACAACACAACACAATAATGTAAATATATTGGGTTGATTATAAAAAAAGAAAAAATTTCTTTTTCCTATATGCGTGATGTTTGCTAAAATGATTTAAAACTTTTTTTTTATTATATAATTCTTAATAAAACAATTTTTAGTTTTATATGACTCGAAATATAATTATATGATATATAATTTGATATAAGATATGCGATATATATTAATAACAAATTAAAATTTTAAAACAAAGACTTTTTTCAAGCAAAAATGAATATATTTTTTCATCAATCTGTATGTTGATGAAAACTTAACGAAAATTTAGAGAAATACTTTTTGCACTTGGCAGTACTAAAATATGTGTAGTAATATATATATATTTATATTCAGCTGTACTATCACTAGTACATGTATAAAAAAACACATTTGCCTTTTTCTTATAATCATTAAATTACCGATTAAATATTTCTATTCTTTTCAGACAAAAGTAAAATAAAATAGTTTGCTTGCATTGATCGCGTTCAGCAGAGAAAATTGTTGTGTCATATTCTTGCAATATTCGACGTTGATTGTTAGATTTGAAAGAAACCGATCACGTTGAATTGCTACTAAGCGATTTTTCTCTGCTGAATCCATTCATAATACAATAATATCAGATAGTGATCAAAAGAAAAAGAGAGACGCTAATTCATTTTTTTTTAATAATAGAAATAAATAAAATTTACAAATCAACCTAATGCATTTATATGTATATATATGTATAATTCGAGTCAACTTGTAATAAATATACTAAAAGAGAGTGAATGGTGACATAATGCAGGAAAAGCGCGACTGAAACGAACATACATAAAACAAAATTATTCAATAAATGAAAGTCATTGATATTTAGATGATGGTCTTTGGGATCATGATCTTAAGAATTAATAATAATTATAATAGTTTGTAATTATATAACTATACAGAAAATTGAAAGGTTTAGTACGAATATTAAATAAATTAAGCAGTTCTTCCTTTTCTGTAAAAAAAAAAGAAAAAAAGAAGAAGAAGAGCTTCACGAAAAAATGAATGTTGCAAAAAATACAAAGTATTGTACGCGATATTACGTTTAGTTTCATTACCGTATAAATTTGATTATCATTATATGTAGTTGATATGTATTAATTCCTTTCACACATCAAGATATACCTTTTAATTTTTAATTTGTTAGATATTAATGAGCGATTCTCTTAATTTCTTAAGTAATTGATTTAGGAAGAATATCACATAATTTTTTAAAATCGATTCTTTTCATTTTTCTTTTATTTTTGATTATATATATATGTCGCGATATGTCTTACTATAATATTCCTATTATTATGTTTATTTCGAATAATTGTGTATCATATTGAATATTTTACATCTCAGTATATTTGCTTAATGAATAAAAAAGAAACGAAAACATTCTTCCCCTGCACAATTATTTACCCTGATTTTAATAATTGAGAAGCGCTAATTATGTAACATTATAAACATTTTGATACATTTCGATTTTTAATCAATCATTAAATTTGTCACACTGTATTTGGATTCGCACGTATCGTTTTTATTTTTTGAGAAATAATTATATAACAATGGATAGTTTTCTGCGAAATATCAAATAATCCAGCGATTTTTTGGAAATAAAAATTTTTCTTTTTAACACAGAAATTATAATTTTCTAAGCTAAATTGTATACTGAAATGGAAAAATATAATTTCAAATTGTGAAAATACTACATACATATTAATATAGAAGATGATATAGAATGTCAAAATAATTTTGCAAAGAATTTGTAAGATGTGTAGTAATTTATTTCGAGTAAATGCTTTAACGTTTCAGAATAATGCAGTATTTTTATCGCGACCAAAATTCGTATTATAATTAATTAATCAATCAATCACCATAATTAATTAATCACCGATAGCATAACTTTCTCGTAATAGATATTTTGCCAAAATATAAATAATTTGTGTTAAAATAATTGTAATGATCATCTTTCGATAAGCGAGGTTGATTTAAAGCGAGATTGACCACAAAAGAAATGAGAAATTGAGAGAGAAAGAATGCAGGAAAGAAAGAGAAACAGGGAAAAAAGTAAAACATACAAGAAACGAGTTTTATTGATTCATAATTATAATACGATTATTGGATTAAGTGAAGTAATTGCAATGTTACAAACACTTAATATAATCATGAAGAAGAGAAAAAATTTAAAAGGAGAAAAAATAAGAATGGAATGAAAAATGAAATGGACAATTTTTTTTAGATAAATTGTGGAAATAATAATATAAAATAATGATATCAATAATTGAATAAAAAAATAATATATTATAAAGATTATCTACTTTACAGAAAACACATATCTCTTCGGTTTCTTATTTCAGTAATTGTTTAATTTTTTCGAAAATTTTTATTATAAAATATATGATTATTATTATAAAAACAAATAGTAATAATCATTAATTATTTATTAATTAGTGAAGAATTTTAGGAGAGATTATTTGAATGATAAAAAATATATTATTAAATTTACGGAGACAGTCAAAGATGATTTTTATTTTCAATATTTAACAGCTGATATATATATATATATATATATATATATATATATATATATATATATTATATGATATGATATATATATCTGATATGATATATATATGATATGATATGATATACAGGGTCTACCAAAAGTGTGGAAACCCCTAAATATCTCGGAAAATATACGTTTTACAGAAAAGTGTTTCCAACAAAAGTTGTAGGGTTTAAGAAGATCTATATACTGATTCTATCAGTTTGACCTTGGATGGCGTCGTCAAGGTCAGGTCAAGGTCACATTGACTTTTTTAAATGACACCCCCTACATTTGATTGCATATTCTTATAGCTTAATTCAAGAGCTTTCCAAAACACTATAATAATGTTCATTTTTATTAAGTACTTTGCGAGTTATGAGGGTTGAAATAATTTCTTAATTTTACATAAACCATAAAATATCTAGTAAACCATTCATTTTTCGATTATCTTACCTTCATACTTTTATGTACAAAATAATGAAAGGAATCAATTGGTGTAAAGAAAACATACAGTTGTTTTTAAGAAAAAATATGGAATTGTTAATTGCAAATTACATATTTTTTCTTAGAAACAACTATGTGTTTTCTTTACACCAATTGATTCCTCTCATTAATTTGTACATAAAAGTATGAAGGTAAGATAATCGAAAAATGAATGGTTTACTAGATATTTTATGGTTTATGTAAAATTAAGAAATTATTTCAACCCTCATAACTCGCAAAGTACTTAATAAAAATGAACATTATTATAGTGTTTTGGAAAGCTCTTGAATTAAGCTATAAGAATATGCAATCAAATGTAGGGGGTGTCATTTAAAAAAGTCAATGTGACCTTGACCTGACCTTGACGACGCCATCCAAGGTCAAACTGATAGAATCAGTATATAGATCTTCTTAAACCCTACAACTTTTGTTGGAAACACTTTTCTGTAAAACGTATATTTTCCGAGATATTTAGGGGTTTCCACACTTTTGGTAGACCCTGTATATCTGATATGATATATATATATCTGATATGATATATATATACATATATATTATATATATATATATATATATATATATATATATATCGAGAGATATATCCTTCCTAATTTAACTCACTAATGGACTATCTGTGAATTATAATAAAAATTTTATTTTTTAATTAAATTTTATAATTTAATATATAATTTATAATTAAATGAAAAAACGAAAAAATTCAGTTAAAAATTTTCCTTGAATATTAAGAGAGTATGTGATTTCAATAATAAAATCTCCATTAAAAATTTTTCCAATTTTATTTTTTTTTTTACATCAGACCATATTGACAAATATTAAATTGCTAACTTTCTGAATATTTTTTAATGAGATTTCAATATTATAGTGAAAAATTATAGTGCAAATATATAATTAAAATTTTTGACATAATAAAAACATTTATAAATTTTTCGAAAAATTTTTCTGTCTAGTTGAAAGGTTGTAAAAGGATTTTGTGTATGTTTATGTGTATATTTAATTCTAATAATTTAAAAGAACTCTTATAATTTATATAACTCTTCTAATTATATATAAAAAATTCTTATGATCTCTTTATATTATAATCTTTTAAAATTTATCACATTTTTTTCTTTTCCTAATTATTATAAGTTTTGTAATATTGCAATTTCTTCTTTTTATTAAATTTTTTATGATATATTATGGCCTTTAGTGAGTTAAAAATTATTTGACGTGAAAAGAAGGAAAGAAAATAGACTGAAGTTAGTATTCTTGAAAGTGTGTGTCTGAGATGTAATTTGCAAATAGATTCTTTGTTTTTCCTAGCGAAGAAACGCAAGAAAAATCATTTTAATTTGGACTTGAGAAAAAAATCCGAGATTATAAAAATCAGAAAGAAAAGTAATATGAAATGACGTAGCAAGAGATGAAAATCAGAGAGAAAGAGAGAGAGAGAGGAGAAATAGAAAACATCACAAATACACTTATACATACACACATATAGAGTGCGTGAAATGTACACACATTTTTAAATAAAATATGCTACGTACATATAACAACATGAGATACGTCTACTGCATGACAAGATGATCTTTGAGATTACAATATTACTTATTGCTTCTTAAAAGAAGAAAAAAAAAAGAATCAGCTCGTCATGGTGCAGTCGTATCGACAAAACGTAGAAAAACATTATACATAATTTTTTTTCAAAAATATAAATACGTCATTATATATATAAATATAAATATATATATATATATATATAAAAGGTGCGAATGTGAGAGAAAGCAAGAGAGAGAGAGAGAGAGAGCGAGCGAGAGAGAGAGAAAGAGAGAGAGATAGAGATTGAAAATAATTTACTTGAGAAGAAAACTACGGAGAGAATTGTTCTCATTTATATATAGTTTTAATTGCGGAGAGATAATTGTGAATTGAAGCGCAAAAGAGGATTATTAAGAATTCTTTCTGTAAGAGAGAAAGATGAAGAAAATGACCTTTGTGGAATTACAAATGAGCGAGAGAAAGAGAAAGATATGTTGCTTCTAACTAATAATTAGTTTTTAAATGAGTTCTTTTCAAGCGAATATACTTGTATAGATAGATCAATCGATATTCTGTAATATTTGTTTCTTCTTTTTATTTTCACTTCATTTTTCGTTTTTTCGTTTCTCGACGAGTAAAAATCGACGGCACCAAAACTACGTCTTTGTTCATTACGATTATATATACAAACAAAAAAAAAAGAGAAGCGAACTACAACATAAAAAATATAAAAAAGAGCCACTTGACACATTCGATGATGATAGAATAAATAATTGAGAAAAGGTGGTGTCGAGAGATAAAACGAGCAACATTATTATTATAATTAATAATAATTATAATAAATACAATATTTGTACAATAATATCGACGGAGTTTTGCTTGTGTGTGCTGTGTTAAATACGCTGCACACTCGAGTCTATTACCCTATTTTATACCCATCCTGACCAAGATACATGTAAGACGGAGTACAAGCCTATTATTATAGTTGACAACCAGGAGCGTGTCAAACAATTTTTTATTAATTTTAAGAGAGAGAGAGAGAGAAAGAGAGAGAGAGAGAGAGAGCGAGCTTTTGCCCAACTGACTTTTGATCACCATGTGATATCCCTGCTAAAAACTTGGATTTTATATTCATAGTATTTATGAAATAACTAGAAGGAAATAATATTGTTTAAAAAAAAATTAAAATTTTTATCCATTTTTGATAAGTAATATGTTGAAAAACATTGTAGATTGTAAAACAAATATCTAAAAAAATTGATTATGTTAAAAAATATTAGATATCGTAAGAGAATAACATTATTTATAATGTTTAAATCTTTCGATGTAGTTATCAGAGTTATCAGAGTAGATTGTATGATATATTGATCGTCGCGATTTTTTATTTCAAGGAGCTTTAGAGAGTAATTTTAAATCATTTTCTGAACATAATTACACAAATGTTCAGTATATAATTTAGTGTATGATTTGCGTTGTAATTTTCATTATATATGTATAATTTCGTAATAATGTATAAAATACATTTTTTATTATGACTTTGTGAATTTTTAATTCGCCGAGTTTGATGAACATAAATACAGAAAAGATACGTATGCCGGCTAGCAAAATCTATCTGACACAAATTGTGCAAGATGTTAGAAATTTTCTTGACAGAAAAAAATAGATTTTATATGCAGGATTTGCTGTATATAATGCTTTCAGCGGAGATGGCTAGTACCAAAAATATAGAAAAGTTTGCCAGCAAAATGTACTATGATCGAGCACAGATATGTAATACAAATATTATGCAAACTGGCGGCAAAGATTCAGCAAAATAAATCCGTCTTCGATAGATTATGTCGATTTTTTCAGTTTACAAGATGTGTTAATAAGACACAAGTTTGCTGCGGTTACAATTAATTTCTGTTATCATTTTGCTGACAGACTGCTAACAGTTGGTTTACTGTATGTTTATTCACGATTTTTTGTCTCGAACTTTTTCGCATGCCTACAGTTAAATTAATGAAGTACACAGAGATATTGAAACTTGTTCAATTAGTTACTGATAAAAATTAATTATTCTAATATGATAAATTATATATATACCGATACACACACTCGCTTTATTTTCATCTTTTATTTTTCCGGCGAGTTTGTTCCTAATCGAATCACAGGTATACGACAGCATTTAGGAAACTGGCGCGCGGCACCGCTGTCATCGATCATCATCAGCGTAGACTGTGTTGATGCGCAAGGACTGTGTCACGTCAGGGAACCGCCGTGGACTCTCATATGCCTATTGAGATTACCGCTCTGACTAAATCTAAGCAGACATAGCTTACACTGATACGGTTTCTCGCCGGAGTGAATACGCAAGTGCTTGGTAAGCGTCGAGCTGTCGGAAAATGCTTTCTTGCAAAATCGACACCTGGAAAAAGAATATATATCTTGGAAAGAGAATTAATAAAATAAATTTAATAAATTTAATTAAATCTATCTTGTCATATTAGTCATTGTTTAAAAATAAAATTAAGTATTACAAGGAAGGCCTGTTTAGGATCAAGAAAATTGTAGGTAATATTGCGTGTTTTATAAATCTATAATTTTTAAAAACAATTTCTAAATATACAAACGTTTCGGTCCCTTTCGGACCCTCTTTAGTATGACAATGCTGAATATTTAATAGAACTATAAAAGAAATTAACACTAAATAGATCAAGATATAAATAATGATGATTGAATGATTGCGAATGGGGGAGAAATATTTATGTTTATTTATGTTTACCGTACGAAATTTGAAATGGACAGCGCTTGCGTCGCAAAAGTTCTGCGTCTTATTATTTGCATATTATCCAGTTAAAATTTAAAATCTTTGTGTACCTTCACCAACTCGATCGCGATATCGATGTTTACTTTACAATTTTATTATTTGACTTGTATAGTGTTATCTCCTGTTTGTTTTGTTTTTATATCTTGATCTATTTAATGTTAATTTCTTTTATATATTCTATTAAATATATTCAGCATTGTCATATTGAAGATGGTCCGAAAGGGACCAAAACGTTTGTATGTTTAGAAATTGTTTTTTAAAATTATAGATTTGTAAAACACGCAATACCACCTGCGATTTTCTTGGTTCTAAACAAGCCTCCCTTATAGCATTGATATATCGTTTGGATCAATCACACGTAAATTTAATTATTCATTTTATTATTTTTATATTTATATTTAATTCATTTTGATCTTTGTTTAAAATTAAATAGTTTAATTAATAAACTATTTCTTTCAAATCACTGGAGAAGGTCCGAAAATTAATCTTTTGGGGGAGATTTGTCATTTGATCAATTGAAAAAAAACTTAATTTCGAATACGCACCTATAGGGTCGTTCGCCCGAATGCGTTCTCATATGCGTAGTCACCGAACTACTTTGAGAAAATCTTCTGTCACACACCGGACATCGGAACGGCTTTTCCCCAGAGTGTGTCCTCGCATGCGCAGTCAGATTCGCCGCCTGGCTGAATGCTTTTGAGCACGCGTGACATCTTGAAATATTAAGTTTCATATTAATTAAAAATAAAAAATTTTTTTCTCTATAACATAAGCAAAATAGAATGAAAAATAATTTTCTTTTCCCCTTCTTTCTCTCTCTTGAGAAATACTTTTATTATTTTTTCTTAAAATTATAATAATTTTTCTTAAAACTATAAGATTCTTTGGATTAATCAAGTTAATAAATTATAAAAGATATAGGAAGAAAATGTAGATAATTTTTTTAGCACTATATTAGTGTATTTCCGCCTTGTAATTTCCCTTAAAGATAAATATGATATATTAAAATAAAAAATAAATATACAAATAAAGATAAATATATTAAAATAAAAAATTTTGTAGGATAAATAAATTTGATAAATAGATTTCTTTTCAATAAATTTTGCAATTTCTCATTGACGATTTCCGCTCAAAGGTACCGACCTGAACGGCTTTTCCCCAGAATGAGTGCGCAGATGAGTTTTGAGAGTGCTAGGTCTGGCATATGATTTGCCGCATATCCTGCATAGATTGGGTCTACCATTATCCTCCGGGGTAACGCCGCCCGCGCCAGTCGCTGGACCCGTCGTACCCATGCATATCGCATGTTCACCCCCGAGCTGCAGCCGGCCACCACCGTGATGCGGCTGGGGGTGAGAATGGGGATGGCCGATCAAGCCGCTATTGGCCGGTGCACCCTGATTCACCCTCACGGTCGTTTGCGCCGCCGCCTCCACCGGATTGCCGTACTGAGGGGCGGGACTTAAAAGGGGTTCCACACCCCACGCCGACGAATAGCTCTGCTCGTATCTAGAAACATATACGCATACAAGGATAAAGATACATACACGTAGGAAGGCGGGGGTAAGATTAAATAGCTATACACTCTCTAGGGAGAGTGCAGGAGACGAGATAATTATTATTCGAAAGAGAGATAAACATTTTTATAAAAATAATGAGGTTTAAAGTTCCAATTTTAATTTTGAAAACAATATAAAGAATCAAAAGCCAAGGTCAACCGAGACAAACTTTTTATTAATTTTTTAAATATTTTGTACGAATAATAATTAAATTGAAGAAAAAAACAGAAAGTATTTATATAATAAAAGTAGTAGATAAAAATTAAAAGATAGAATCAGTAGATAATATTATAATATTTATCAAGAGATATATAAGCAAATTTATATAATAAACGAATGTCTTTATTTTAATTGATTTTTCAATATAGTAACATTTATGTAAAAGAGAAAAGAAAAACAAAGAATTCTTACCCGGAATGCATGTTCATGTTCATCGTCATATTCATCGAGACGTTGACGGACATGGCGGACGCGGAACCGTAATGGCCCGGACCTGGGACCGACGGACCTAGATTCTGCACGTAGTCTTGCGAGTAGTGATGGGCCGTGGTGGAACCGGCACCGGTAGGGTAATAGCCAGCTGTCGGACTTCCAGGATGCACTACTGCATGTTTCAGGGACAAAAGGACATCGGCAACGCCCTCGCCGTTCGCGCCGGTACCGGTCCTTGGCACGCATTCGCCGCGCGAGCAGCCCCAGCTGGAAGAAACTTTGACTTTTACGGGTTCCATCGAATCAACTAATTTGTAAATTAACAAAAAGCAAGAAATTAGAAAAAAATTATGAATCAATTTCGCGTTTAAGACATGTTTCTTTAAAAGTTGCGATGAAAACCAAAAAGCCTCTTCAAACATTATATCAAGAACCGCAAGACTTGAAGTAATATTGTAAAAAAAAAGAGAAGAAAGAGACGAAGAAGAACAAAGAGAAAAGGGAACATTTGCTTACTTGTAGGTTCCCGAACATGGGCTGAACAGTCCGGGAGGCAGTGGATCCAGATCTAACGGGGGTAAAGGAAAACCCGCCATATCGTCGACCCAAAAGCTGCCGCCGAATTCGCTTACGACTTGGCCGGAAGCCGAAAGGTGCTGGCCTTGATCGGTGCCGATGTCATCCGGCGAATTCTGCAGATCCTGTAAACGCAGCGTACCCTGCAGAGCGGCGCCGAGGACGGCTGCCTCCTCGTTTTGATTATCAGTTGATAGAGCGTCGTCGCCCGCGAGAACGCCCAGCGACCCAGAACAGAGACCGGATGAGATGGTCGCCTCGATGCTGCCGACGGAACCTAAAGATTCAGGAGACAATGAATTTCACCGCAGCGATGATTATTACTTATAGTTTAAGACAATCGTTAAGCAAAACGTTAAAGCAATGACTTTAACGTAGTTGAACTCAATTTTATAAGAGTTTCTAACATCAGGCATGTTTCAGATTCCAACGAGTAAAAGAGAGATTATCAAAATCGATTGATTGGAATAATTCTGACATTAGCACTTGTCAGTGATATCTTTCAATTATTAAACGATAAACATTTTTTGTGAATTTGAAGTGCGACTATTATTAGTTTGCCCTGAAGAACATGTAATAATAATTTGAATTCAACTTTGAATTGAAATTATTCCTCTACGTATGAATTCTAATTTTTCCTCTCCGTTTTTGGAAATTTATCGTAATTTTTTAAAACAAATGCAAATACAATTATCACAAAAAAACACATACATTTTTATGGATAATTCATTACTTTTTAACGTGTAAAATACTTGTGCAATTGTATGAATAATTTTACGAAATATGTGTCGCGATTAAATCCGGCCCGATTTCGCACTGTGCAAAACTATCGTTCCGTCTTCCTTACATCGTCCTCGTCAACGTCGTCGTGGAATGTCGAAAACCCCAGATCTCACCTGTACCGAGGGTGTACGGCGGCTCGGAGGTGTTGACCGCGTGATGATTCTGCAGAAACTCCATCTCTGCGAAATTTCCGACAGCAGCCTATCCCCCGGATGTACACCCCTGTGCCCGCCTGTCCACCCTTCCTCTTCCTCGCAACCCTCGACCTCCTCTCCCTATGGAGACGCGCTGCTGCCGGTCCAACCCTCTCCGGTCGTCCTGGTAACGACGCGCAGCTTCACCGTGAACCGCCGTTCGCCATCGATGCTGTTTTCCTTTTTTATCGCACAAGGTAGATGTAAAAAGTGAGTGGTGGGTGGTTAAGGAATATTTTGATTGTTTCGTTGTACGCGTGCCACCTTTATCGAGCAAATTACGGAGAATTATGAAATTTCGCGGAATTCGGTTGAAATTACGCATTTTCCATAAAAATTAGTTTTCTTTCGAAACATAAAATTGATTTCAAAATATATATTTTCATTTTATTTCTACGTATAAATATTGGTTTCGTCATTACAAAATTAAAGCTCTTTTTCTGTCAAATTGGAATGTAAATGGAAAAATTCAAGAATACGCCGAAGCAAATTTAAGATTAAACTTTTTTGATTATTACAATCTTTGATAGTTTACAAGAATATTATTATTAAAAGACGAAAGATTACATAAATTATTCTATAAACGGTGATGTACATATGCTGCTAATGACATGACTAATTAAAAAATATTGCAATTTTTTTCTAAATGTATTAATTTGTAAAATAGAGAGAGGAGATATAATGAAAGGAAAAAAGAAGGAGAGGAGATCACATAGATTCAAAAAGTCCGATATCATGTATCTTTTGAAGAAATAAGTTTAAGAGATGGAATCTGCAATTTTGCGATTGTTTCAATGTATGTACTTTTATAATGGAAAGTAATCCTTTAATTATATGACTTCATTAAATGGATTATAAAGAGATTCTGTGTTGGAGGTAAATACAATGAATTTTTAAATTCTGCGACAAGTTGAGGATTAAATTATATATACTAGATATAATAATGATTAATACGTAATAATCATTAACATATGTACATATATTTTAACTTTGTACGCAAAAAAATTATTTCTTAATATAAATGTTTTCTTCCCCTTTAAGTTTCCGAAAATTCAAAATATAACAAACTTTTTATTTTCTTTTAGGAGACTGATTGTGAAATAAAAAGAAATATATATTTAGTTACAATATTTGATATACTGATTTATTTTGATTTCCACGAGCTTTCCATTGTTAAATAATATAAAGTCCAAACTTTCTGAAAATTTTGTATTGCATTAAATTGCAACATCCTTTTAATATTAAGCGATTCATATACTATAATTTTATATATACTATAATCTCATGCGATAAGAGCATGGCACTATCTGAGGACCGGGAAAAATTTCGCGCCTGCGAAAATCAACCAGATGAATCGATGAATGACTTTTTATGAATGACCGAATGAAGAAGGAAAATGCACGTGCATACGGCTCGCTACGCGCGTATAGACGTACCTTTATGGCTTGGAAGACCTGCCAATCCCCGCTAGAGGCTTCTGCAGAAAACCTGTCGTCGGATATTCCCATTCACAACACCGCGATGCCTCCATCTTCCCATATGATCTTTCACATCAGCCAGCATTCTTCGGAATTTTTATTCTTATAGCCGATCATCATCTCGCATTTCGTTTCAATCGTTATTTTTATTCAACATCACTCTCGCTATTATCGTGCGATATAGGTTCTTCAAAATCAAAACTAAATTGTACCACACACTTCAACTGTTGCAATAATATACATAATAAGATGGTAAATTTCTATTTTATAATCCAAAATAAATCAAAATTTCCAGTCTATATTTTCTTTTGAATAAAATTTTTCTAAGTTAAAAAATTTCTACACATATATTCTAATTATTTCTCTTTCTAAAATTTTCAATTTATAAATATCTTGCAATATTCTTATTTTTTGCTTTATTATATACATATGTATATGCATAAATTTAAATCATTTCATATTATGTATGTTATTTTATTGTTTCTAATTTTCTTTTGATTTTTTCAATATACTTTAGGTAAAAAAAAATTCTTCTTTACAATATTTTAAATATTTGTGCTATTCTTTATAATATGTCGTGTAGTCTTGCAACATTCTTAAGAAAACTGAAATCTAAATTACAATCTATAATATTTATAGTTTAAACTAAATCAATTTGTTTTTAATATATAATATAAATATTTTGTGTTATATGCAATATTATGCAAATTCAATTATTTGTTGTTAAATCTTTGTAGATTAATATTCATGTATTTTACAATTTTTATAAATTTGTCTCGCATTCCAATTACAACTTCAATTTGATATTGAATCACTTATTCACATTGCAATAATTCCTGTTACTTTTTGCATTCTTAATTAGAATTTATTTTTAATCTCGCTTGTTTTTATCTTTTCTAATTAATTATCACTCCAATCAAATTATTTTCAACGAGTTATTCGATCAAGTTGATAAGGCGCGCACTATAGACAATTTTTCACTTTGAGTCACTTAAAAATTTTAAACGGCTCAATTTTGAACAATTAAACTTCGTCGCGACGGCGTGCGACTCCTGGAGACACTAACTGCCATGCTGGCGGGATGGCATGTCAATGTCTCTTGGTTAACTAGCGATCTACCACCTATTCACCACCCACTCTCTCACCCCTTAAAGCGGCTCGCTAACTACGTACGTACCATCCGCGACCCCACTCTACTGCTCTCTATCCCTTTTTTCCCTCCCCTGTCTCTGTTTTCGTCTCTCTTTCTCTTCACCATTTCTTCTTCCACCAACTGATATATACCATGTATCTCATCATCGGATCTTACGTATCCCTATACTTGAGTAAAAGTGACGTGCGAGGGCAGTGCAATGGCAGGGCAGTGTTAAATACTTTTCATCGCTCTAGAGAAATTGCTTCCTCTCTCTCTTTAAACAATCACATTTCTGATTTTCATTCTTCACAAGTAGAAAAAATATTACATGCGTGTAGAAAGGAAAATTTTTAAATCAGCTTCATATTCATCTTCAGACTTTGATAAGGAATACTTTTCGTGTTCAATTTAGAACTCTGCATATCTCGCCGCCACTGGGAATGTCGAATAACACGCGTTGTACGATGACACAGGATACTAATCGTTCATTCGGCGATCATCGATGATCGGCGATCTTTCTCGCGCTATGGTTGTACCGGTGATATATCCTAGCTGTCTGGAGAAGGGAGGTATTATATTTTCTCGAGATACCATTACCGTGCGCCCCGATCATGGTGGTCCTGCTCTCTGATACCCTTCTCGAAATCATCGGCTTGTAATGCCTTCCTTTTCGTGGATATTGACCAGTCAACGGTGAACCGTGTGCGAAAATACGCGTTCCTCTCAATGCGCGAAGATTTTGTGTCAGTTTCCTGAAAAATTGATTGCTTCGGCGACGATTCAATCTTATCTCGATGTAGAATTTAAAGACGTGTGCGGTGTAACTTGTGAACCTTAAAAAATATTATATACATGCATGCGCATTTTATTACATAATATATGTTATATAAGAAGAAAAAGATAAAATATAATAATCTAAAATGTGATTATTAATAATATAATAATATTGTATCATAAAGATATATTTTAATGGAATGTGTTTTTTATTTATAGACATATATATAAAATTTACTATCAAGTTGTGTTTTTCATCATATTGACCATCACGAATGAACACTCATCCGACTATCAGGTATCCATCGTAATTGCGAATACCGAATGGCGAGTACAGACCGGACACCTGACTACGTAGTTCCGATATGTGGACACAGGAAGAGGAAGTCAACCGCACGAGCACGATGCATCACTACCACCACCATTGTCAGCAAGATGGGATCTTTTTTTGATTCGCCTTTCTAAAATTTGTCATTGAATATACAGGGTGTCCCATCTGTTTAATTTTTTAATTTACATAAAATTGATTGTTCCCTCAAAGTCTTGATTTTGTTCAAAAATAATTTTAAGTAACTAACAATTGCGAAAAATGGGGATTCTTTTAATATTTTTATTAAGCTTAAGTAACAAAAAAGCACTTCGTAATTTATTCAAAAATTTGAACAAAATTTGTTTTTAATAAAACAATATACGTATAATAAAAAAGCACATACAATAGAGAAAGATAAAAACTTTGATTTTTTAAAAGTATGAATAGATATAGAGTTGATAAAAGAGAAACAGAAAATAATTTGAAATTACATTTGATATTATATTTTGATTTTGACGAATCTTAATATAATTTATATTATATTAATAATTATGCATCATTCTACATATATAGTTAATTATATAAATGAAAGAAAAAAGAGAAAAAAGGAGAGCGAATTATGCATAGACGGATTCAAGAAGACACGTTGCATATAGAAAGTGAGTATATATATATATATATATATATATATATATATATATATATTGACTTTTAACCGATTAGGCTATATAGGTATTTACACAGGGTTTCATTAAAAGTTGTCTTTTTTTTGTAGGATATGCTATTTTGAACAATTGTAACAATTTTAATTTATAGCGGATATATTATGTTATGTTTCGAGTTAAATAAGTATTAAAGTAAACAAGAGATTAAATAAAATCTATTTTGAAAAATGATAGAAAATTAAATTTGTAAAGATAAGAAAGAAATTTTTTATATATAAATATTTACTTATAAGTATTTTATTCACCTTTTACTCTCTACGAAAGACTAAATTATACATTAAATTATAAATTAGAAAGAGGTAAATATATATATTAAAATTGAAATTAAATTAAATGGAAAAAAATTAACTTAAAATTAAAATTAAGTTATTATGGATAAATGAAACTAAATAGTGAATTATAAAGGATTAAATCATGGAATTAAAATCTTTAATGTAAAATAAAAGGAAAAGAATTTAAATTTGTTAGAAAATTATAAAGCATTAATGAAAATAATAAAAGTTCCCTGAGATTGTTATTTTTACTTTGATCTCGACTAGATAATTGCTAATTTTATTTACTGACCTCTATGTACATGTATATAGAAAAATTTCATTGAAATACTTCATTGAAACCAGAGTTTACGGGTTCCCTTCTCGAGCGACTATTCAGTCGTCCTTTTTCGCTCTTTCTCACCCCCCTATTTGAGTCGCGAATCCGTAGAATATTGGTACAGTGGATAAAATCAACGGCAGGTACGATGTGGGGCCGTTTTAACGCACCTGTGTTTGCTCTTGCGACCGAAATCAAAGAGAGACGATTAAGTACCATTACAAATCATGTAAACACCCGCGTGAATTCAACCGCTCTTTCACTCATGCTTCTGCATATCTTTTCGCGATGACCACGTGCATACACACCATAGACGTAGAATACATAGACTTCGCGTTTGACTAAAAAGTTGAACAAATTTTAGAAGGAGACAACATGCTTTCGTGGTGTTAGTTTCTTTGTCTATCAAACAAGAGTGAGGCAAAAATTTAATATGGCCACTGCATTTGACGTATGTTTTGATCGATTTCTTTCCCACACCACGCGTCATTAGACAAAGAAGAAACTATCATGAAAATAAGCTCTCTTTTTCTAAAATTTGACGTTTTTGAGACAAAGGAGAGAGTGGGAACTTGCGGTCTATATATTATATGTCTATGATACACACACATACACATACATATGCACATGTCAATATGCGAAGAAAGTTTAAAGGCCGCAGCACACACTTTTGCATAAGCGCACAACCATAAGCATAAAAAAATTGATTGGTTCATTTTCTTATGCATATACTTGGGGACCAATCAATTTCCTTATGCTTCTGGTTATGCGCTTATGCAAAAGTGTGTGCTGCGGCCTTAAAGATCTAAAATCCTCTATGCTTTTTGCGCGAAAACATAGATTAATTTTTATTACGAGATCTGTTGAAACGAAATGAAAAATTCTGATTATTAAAAAAAAGAAAAGATGAGAGAAATAAATAGAAATTAAGTCGCAAGGGTATCAGCCAATACATTTGCAACGTCAGTGATTATACGCGTCAAAAATAACGCGCATCTCGAGTTTCTTAATTTGGGAAAGGATTAACGAAGGAGAGGACGGATATAACCGAGCGGCGCATCTGCCTGCGAGGAGCCGGCTAAGAAAATAAGGCGGGAATCGTCGTCAAGATGATTATACATTACAATATATACGCCGTAACCGTTTCCCCGGGATTAGGATACGTCCAGCTCCCCTGATCCTATCATGGACGATTCGTTCGAATAGCCGATTGAATTACACGCAGCGCGTGCCAGCCGGTCGTACGCCGGTTTGTACACGCTCGTACACAAAGATGATAACCCAAGCACCTAATAAAGCCACAATTCTATCTCATTGAGATTCGAAGAGCGATAGGAAGATCTTGAATGATTGAGAATTTAAACCGGGAACTTGCGAACTATGCGAAAATTCACACGCTATTAATAAAATCTTGATAAATTTCTCTTTCTGTTTTTTCTTTAAAGAAACATTAGAAAATTTAAATACAAATTGTAATAATATTATTAATATCTTAATAAAAAATATTAATAATATCTTAATAAAAATTAATAATATAAAAGATATTAATAATATCTTAATAAAATATAATATCTTAATAAATTAATGATATCTTAATAAAAAAATTGTCAAGAGAATTATGTATATAACAGAAGGAGAGCACAAGAAAATAAACTCTCATTTGTAACTTCTCAATTTTCCAACTCTCTCGTGTTTAAAGGCTTCTCGATATAAATTGAATGTAATTCCTCATATATTGGATATTTTAAAGTTATTTATAGCTATATAGTATTGAAAAGGATAAAATATTACATGAGGAAAAAAATACGCGAATAAGGAAATTTATGTTATATATTTTATACGATGAAATATTTTTAATCGATCCACCCGCACGTGGTGCTCCAAAAAAAATATATACAAGCTGTGACACACGCACAGAAGTATAATGTTTCTCCTTGTCGGAGAATATCGGACGCGATATCTCGCGATGGAAAGAGAGTGGGTGTTTCCGTTACGTATTCCACAGACTTAATTAAGTAACCGTGATGAAAACCGTTTATCGCAACCGCGCGGGGATAATCCGCAATCGTTTTGCCGACAAGATAGCCTACTATCTTGTCAGATTGGATCTTTAATCATGAACGATTACCGCCTTTACTGTCATCTCCCGATGCGGTTTAATCACTCAATTGTGAATAGCCGCAGCAATAATGCTGATTTATGTAAGCATATACAGGGTGTTTCCGCAAAATTTTTGGTTTATATAAAAGCTTATTTTAAGAGATTAGTCTCTTATTAAGTAAAATGTATACATAACAATGCTCTCTCTACTAAAAGCAAAAAGTCTAATGTCTCAGAAATTAAACATGTGTAATATATGCATGTTGTTTTGAAGTAATAGAAATAATTTTATATACATACATATTTTATTTCATATTTATATACATATAGCACCACATATTAATAATTGATAAGTTATTGAAAATTTATTTAGTTTTTTCACTTGCATGTCTTACTCACAATAAAATCTATATATTATCAAATTGACTCTAAAAGTAATCATGAAAACTCACTAGTGTTGACTCACTAAATGCATCTACATGTTTCTTTATTTTTTCAAATCGTCATCGGAGAGATTTATATTTTTAAAACATGACAAGAATAAATAAATCATCGTGCATTTTGATTAAAAAAGATCACTATAATAAATTAATATAATTGAAGGATTATAAAGTCATGGAAAAACTTTAGCAATATCTGTCACATAACATATTCTCTACAATTTCTTTTTCAATATTGAGTTGAGACGATTCAAAATATAAGCTTTTGCTTAAGAAATACCTTTAGCTTCATTTATTCATTGAATAATCTGTCAGGCATCATCATGATTCTATACGGTATCGATTGCCGAAAATTGCTTTGGAGCATTATACATAGTTCATAAGAGAGGAGAGGAATATACAACAAACCCCCCAAGATGGCTGCCACTTCGCGAGAACGGGCGCATATCGACGTTTGGCGTTTGCGAGGTTTCCCGTAGGTAAGCTCATCGGGAATTGCGGGTCTTCCCACCCCTACCGCTTTGCTGCCATCCCTCGTCATCGCCCTCGCCGTCGTCTTCTCACCCTGTGACCATCTTCAAAACAAAGAAACACATATGTAATTGAATTTTTACCCGAACGAGCGTGTAAATTAATACGCGATCCTTTGTCGAAATTGTGCAGCTGCAATTGCACCGTCGACAAAAGCTCTCCCTCGAAAAGCTTTATCCGAAATAAAGAAAGAGCTTTAGCACAATTACTCTCCCTTTCTTTAACTCTTTTTCACTTCTCTTTGAATATATTGACGAAAGGCAAGATTAATTTTCTAGTCAATCGCGCATTTAATAGGAATTTTATTTTATGCAATACTTGCGTCATTTTTAATTTCATAATTATATCGCATATAATTCTATGTCGTATGTTATCTCTCTCTTTTTCTCATTTATATTATTTATATTAAAAGTTTTTTGTATAAGTCACATAATTATATTAAATTATAATTATTATTATACTATAAGAATATTAGCCTCGATGAGTCAATGATTTCATGATACTTTTGATTTAAACATTTTTTCATTAAATATATAACACGAAAAATTTTAATCTTTGAAGATATATTATTATATTGTAGAAATAAAAAGAGGGATATGAGATTATACGTAAATTATGGCGCGTGCGCCTAATTTATATTCTAAAAATTTATTTCAATCTATTTATTAAAAATAGTACAGGCAACTAGGAAAATAAAAGAATATTGGAAACATGTGGCACAAGGAAAGCAGTTTACAAAATTTTATTATATGTTTTACATTAATAAATTTTTTCTTAATAAATAATTGCTTTCTGAAATCCTATTAAAATCGGCAATAAGATCAATAAGTTTGATAATAGAAAATATATTGTAGTACATTCAACATTCTTTTCGAAAAATAGCCGCTCGCGTTTTGTGTATCACAATATATACACTGTCTAACTTTTATATTTATACCATATCACCTGAAAAATATGACTATACGTTAGAAAACAATCTAAAAATAATCGTATATTGAATTTTTCTTTTGCGATTTTATGATATACATTTTCTAAGTTATTTAAAAGTATACGATATTGCATTCACGATTATTCTAAAAGTAGGAAAAATAGTTTTCGCAGCGTGCAACCTTAATAATATATATACATTTATATATATATATATATATGTATATATATATATATATATATATATATATACATATATCACACTATAATAATTTATGTTATTTCTTTTTATATTCATATCAATAGTCCATTTATAAAGTTTACCATATATAATATATATAGATACATTTCGCACATGAAAAAATACATGTTTCGTTTCATATTCTATATCCATATACATATCTCCTATTTTTTGTTTATAATACAAAATTCTATAGATTATAGTTTTCAACTAATTCCCACGTAGGTATTTTCAGGATGTATATCACGCAACTCCTAAAAAAAATTAACAGAATGTTAGAAATTGTAAAAAATTATAGATAGAAACTACATGTATTTACTATTTACATTTAACAGTAATTGTATAACATGTAGTTTTACATGATGTAAGTTACATGCAACAATAATATATATTTTCTTATATGAAATTTTAATAAATCCTCTATATTAAAAGTTTTGATTTAGAAAGAATTTGAAATTGAAAAAATAGAGATTATGTAAATTGTGACTACACAATGTCTTTAAAAAAATGTATATTTAAGAGACTGTAAAAAAATAATTCTTTATATATATAAAGTACGCAAGATATTTTACATGCAGCATTTGATAATGGCTGGTCTTTGCTTCTTCCCGTTCCGTTTCTTTTTCATTTATTTCCTTATTTGGCGATATCGATAATGCAGCATTTATATCCAATGGTCCAAAGGTCCATCCACCTTCTCCATCAAATCTCAGCAACAATTTGTGATATTTAGCAAGCGATGCCACTCGATGAGTAATGGTCAACAAAGTAATTCCCTTCTTCTTTACAGTTTCATACATAATTCCTTCGGCTTCGAGGCTAACGGCGCTCGTACATTCGTCTAATAAAGCATATTGTGGAGCGTGATATAAGAGTCGAGTCATCGCAAGCCGCTGTTTCTCGCCACCAGATAGAGTAGAATCCCAATCGCCAAGAGCATCAAAACCTTCCGGTTCTCTTTCGACAATACTGCGTAAATCCACGTCATCTAACAACCGTAGCAGCTCTTCATCCGAACAATTTCCCGAACTGTAATAAATGCACAATTCTCCGATTAGTATTCTAATCAAAAATTAAAATGTACTTATAAAAACATATAAAAGTGAAAAACATATAAATGGGGCAAAAAAAATATATATACATACTGTAAAATAGATATCATAAAATGCATCCTAAATAATATTTAATTATAATTTAATTATAATTTAATTATATATAATTTCATTTCCTTTAACATAAATATAATAATTAATATAATTTAATGTTAATGACTATATAGGATATAATAATTCTGTTGAACTAATTTTTGCGACCATTTATATATTATTAAATTAAAAACATTAACTTTGCAATTAAATTCATCATCGTGTTGATTAAATTTACTGTTACTTGTGTACTTCAATATAATAATTAAAGACTTTCTGTACTGTCACAATTTTAATCATTAATTTAATTATAAAAATTATGTATAAGAACCTAGAGTGCGCCGGATAAATAATCTGATCTCGAAGACAACCAACAGTCATGTAGGGTTTTTGTGGAATATAAAATAGGGCAGGTCTGCTGTGTTCAGAGTTCCTTTCATTTGGTCTGATAAGAGTTCCATCATAGACGGGCCAAAGACCGGAGATAATGCGAAAGAGAGAACTTTTGCCACAGCCATTGGGTCCAGTAATCAGAATATGGTCACCTGGCTTTATCTATGAATTGTAATAATAAATAAATTAATAAGTAAAACAAAAAATAAAATAAACATAACAAAAACACATTTGTCAATGTGCGTATATAAGTATGAAATTACTTACATGAACTGTTAAGCTAGGCACGATAACTTCACAATTAGGCGTGACTATTGGAACATTGATTAGGCTTATACTGCCGTCCGTGCTTTCGCGAACAATTCCTAATAAACGTATAATAAATATACTTGTAAATAACAAAAATATATAATTGTCTATAAATTAAACAATATAAATTAAGAATATAAATAATAGAAACTAAAATAATAATAGAAATTAAATAAATTAAATTACACATAATAGTAATAATAAAATTGCACTAAAATTAAATAAATGCAAACTCATGTAGAACCATATTATAAAGATCTCATATTTATCAATTTTTATTTTTTTAGTTACTAAATACTCAAACAAAATTTTTGTGTTAATTATTTTTTTAATAAACAATAAATGATTAAAATCTTTTGAAGATTACTGAAGAGTAGGGCCTGAAATTGTGTAAAATAGATATTGATTAGTTCAAATAGCAAACTTATTATATATATATATATATATATATTTAATAGTAAATTTTTTAATCATAATGCATAATTATATCATTATATCATTATAATTATATAATATATATTACTAATTATACTAATTAGTACTAGTAAGTATTTATATTATATAATTAGTTATCATTAAAGTTCGGATCTTAGTGCTATTTTCCTTGTTCCAAGTGTTAGCGGCTGAGCGCCGCGAAAAGCAGTACCGTCTATGCCGATAGAATATCATTATGTGTTTATATATTTAATATTATACATAATATATAAAATAATGTAATAAAATATAATAAATTATTATACTATTTGATATTTTATATATTATGTATATTATTCTTTTATATATTAAATAAACATATATTTCTATATTAATATATATATATATATTTTTTTTTCTACGCGACGGTGTCTCTTTGCTATTATCACTAGACCGGCCTCTTTGCTACCATCACTAGACGATACTGCTTTTCGCGGCGCTCGGCCGCATGCACTTGGAGTGGGGAAAACGGCACCGAGATTTATTATAATTAATTATATAATTACTTTTATAATTATATAATTACTTTTAACTTTTAATAAAATTAAAAATATTTAATTAAATCAAATTTTGTTGCAGCATGATATATTTATTTGATTTACCTTTAATTATTGGAGTGCCATTATCGAATTGGATTATTTTGTCTACAAGTTGTTGAGTGTTGCCATTTAAAAGGGATTTCGACGGGCTACTGCTAACAACGTTTCTCTTATATTTGCAAAGTGCAGCGTCTTTAAACACGTCTAACATTTCGCTGACGCGTGCTGCATATCCCGCCAATGCGACTAATTCCTGTTTCAATCAAAATCAGATTAATATATTCTATTGGACATATCTTTAAAATATATTTAATCTTGATATTTAAACTGTCATTCTTTGTAACGCACACAAAATAGCTTTAAAGAAATCAATGAATATTAAGATACATACTTTGTAAGACGACATCAGTCGTTCGACAGCATCCGCTCCAGAACTCAAGAGATTTTTCGAAGTGGTCAAATATCTCGTTCGTTCACTTACGCCACCTGATTAATAAACGTAAGCACGTGTTATCATTATTTTTATTTATAATAAGAAATATATAAAAAAATCTTTTATTGTTTCTGCACAGATATAGAACAGAATAATTTTCTTAATACATATAGATATAATACAATAGAATCTCCTTAATTTTTTGTGGTCCTCCTCATACATTTATTTCTATAAATACTAATATCATGTCCCCTCTATATCATTATAATAGATCACGTGACAGCACGCACAGACGAGTTTCATGTCTGTAACTGCCTTTGCGCAAGTGCTCAATGATTGAGTAGCTGGCACTATGAAAAATTATATTTAATTTTTGTTTTCTAACAATTTGTCGTTCTTATCTTCTCAAAATTAACGAGACTCTATTATATAATATATATATATATATATATAGATATGAAAAAAATTATTAATCTAATTTATAAGTGACATAATATTATTTTTTACGCGAGATATTATACTTAGACATTGCGTTATCGTATACGCACCATCGCCATCCGCGTTAATCTTGCTTGTTGATGACGTGACTGTATTGTAGAGCAATGGTGCAGCAATAACGAAAAGTCCGGTACCGGACCATACGTATTTCATGAGGAACTGCTCCAACATCACATACCATAGTTTGACAGCGAGAATGCGCTGTAAATGCGACACCAAAGACTTGTAAGCAGAATTCAGGTAACGGTGTTCTGTATAGTGTCCTCCGTAAAATGCAATCTCTTCTGCATGAGCACTGATACGAGCGTGAGCTTCTCTTAATTTGCCACGTCGTGCTGCTTCTTCAGCAACTAGTTGACCAAACTTTGGTGAAGTGAAACGCAAAACTTGCCCAGTTAAACCAATAACTGCTACCGCTACTAATGGTCCTATAGATAATAAAAAGTGCAATAATAATATTTACAATATAATAATAATAATAGCAATACAAAAATCTTTTTATTCTATTATTCTAAGTTTCAATTAAATTGGAATTGCTCTTTCACGCTGCTCTTCTATTATATATTTACGTGACTATGTGATTATATGATTTATTTTCATTCTATGCACATCCCGTTAAAGCAAAGGAAGAGAATAATCTCGTGGGAATCTTATCTCTCCGAGATAGATTTATAATTATTTATTAACTATTTATTAACAATAATATAAAAATCTCACCTGGTATCGTTTTCGCGCCCATTTTATGCGAAAACGAGATAAGCGCGATACCGACTAATGCACAGTCTAACAGTGGCTTGGTTAAACTAGAGTACAGGTGAGCTACGGAACTGGCTAGTTCGGACAAGTCATCCGTCAGCCTTTGCTCGGCATCGCCAAGTCTAGTATCTAAAGCTGATACTCTAAAGTAAGTCTGCTGACTCAGGTACATCTTGTAAGCATGTTTTACCAGACGTTCCCTGCAATTTTCAAACAATTCAAAAATTATATTTTATTTCCAGGATTTTTCGATATTTAATTTTTTCTCTTTCAGTCTCCAACTTGAAAGAGCCTCTATTGCTATAAACGAAATGGAAAAATGTCTAAAGAGAAGAAATTATTATTACATATGTATATATATATAAATAAAAATAATGTACCATAAACTGTCAAATTGTTATCTTTTGTTATTCAATTGTCGTTTTTTCATGGTATTTAGCTTATAAAATTTAAAATTTCTTTTATATGAAAGAATTGAATGTATTTAGATTTATTTTACGTTTCATTTTGCTTCCTGTTGAGCAGTGCGAATAATCACATATATAAAAAAGTCAAGTTATTTTTAAATAATTTGCATGTTACTTGCGTATTACTTCAGCATAATTTACTGGGTTTTTTGATGCAGCAAAAAACGAAATTGTGCCAAGATTTTGTGTGCTCTCGGACATATCTAATCAAACTATTAACACAATAATGTGTAATACTCTTATAATATTACAATCGTGTTTTATATTACAATATCATCAAAAACTTAAAACTTTATATCTTCTACATTTTCAACTGTGATATATTATATAAGTTGTTGAAAAAAAAACGAGTTTTATCTGGGTCTAAAAAAGTAAATATGATGATTAATATCAGGATAAATATCAGGATTTTTTCATTTCTTTTTTTACAAAAGTGATATTTTTTTTATTAAAGAATAAAAAATTTGCTATTAATATATTTATTTCCTAATATAATATGCAAATTATCTATATAAAATTGTAATTTATTACACTTATAATGCATAAGTGTTATATAAGTTACTATCTAAGTAATCATCTTATATTCAAATTAATGACATGAAAAACTAATGGCGGAAAAATTTTATTTTATTAACTTGCGCTGTGCAAGCTGTTAAAATAAAGTTTTTCCGCTCGTCCCATTAATTTGAATACAAAATGATTACTTATATTAGATATAAATAAAAAATGTTTCGTTATCTGTTTCTACAAGTTTAAAAAAGACTCCGCACATTTTATATGACAAAAGTGGCTTCGGTCAAATTGATTGAAATTCAAAAAGCAAAAGTCCAGACACGCATAACAAAAAGAGTTTAGAATCATTAAATATCGTAGCAGTGACACACATTATATATAAATATTTTTTTTTCAAACATTTATATATTAATTTAATCTATGTATTCAAAAGCACAGACGTTTTTTAAACTTCAATACTTCAAATTATCATATTTTTTATACTTTTGATTTTTGGACTTTTTGCCTCAAGAAACTTTTGATCAGCACCACCTAAAGTACAACATATTTCAATTTCAGTCAATTTGACCGAAGCCATTTTTTTCATATAAAATGTGCGGGGTCCTTTCTGATATAATCTCAATAAGAAATTTAGAATATTTAACAGTATCTGACGGAAACTGACCAGATGAATGAACAATTATTCGTACTGCTCAACAGTAAGCAAAATAAGAGTAAAATAAAATGTAAAGTAGATATAAATACATTCAATTTTCCTATATAAAAAAAATTTGAGTTTTATAAACTAAATAAACTATTTTCGTAAATATTTTTATTACATTTTATTATTTATGTACTTGGATCAATTCTATGCAATTTTATGGGATATATTACATTTATATAACATTCCTATAACTGTATATAATGAAAAGATACGCCTTACGCCACTATACCGTTGTATCATCAGTGGCGGATTTGAGAATTCGCAAACCCCGAGCAAATTGATATTAACAGTTACTTTCGATTGTATCGGGAAAGGAAAGAATGATTAAAGCTTGAACGCAGATATAAATATTCATTTATGTATGATATAAGTATAATATATCCCATGCACACATAGAATTAATTCAATTGCATAAATAATAAAATGCGCGAGTGTACATGTATACCATTGAAGAAAAATTTCAAGCGGATGGAAATGTTTGACATCTTGCAATCATAATTGATATCGAATAAATATATAGCTAGCTCTGAATGCTTTTTTGATCCTTTTCTTCGTATTATCGAAGAATTCTTTTTACATTCTTCATTCTACTTTTGGTGCATTTTGTTTATTATTTACCTTTTCTCTTTCCCACAACCTCTCAATTATCTGACGTTTTATATCCATTTCACTTTAAATGCAGGAAGTTCTACAAGATAGCGTGTAAAATAAGCTAACTTAGAGCTAGAGTAAATAGATAGCTACAGTGATTTTAACTTTAAAGATAAAAAAAAAGAAGACAGCCGAAAGGTCACTCATCACGTATGAGACTCTAATCTTAGAACGTGACAAAATAAATGATAATGTCTTTAAAGAGAATCGATGCAGATACAGATTAAACCATACAGGACAGATATTAAAATATTTTATCGAATCGAAAAATTTGTTTCCAAAACGTTTTTACATTCTTAGTAATATTAATTTTAGTCGATCAAGTTGGATGAAATATTCCTCATCTTATTTCTTCGCTTACATTTATAATTTCGTTCTTTCCAAACATATAAATCCATTTCATTTTATCTAATCGCGAACACAAAACACAAAATGTAAATAAATCCATCCGCATTATCTACATATTTTGCTTCTTCCTGTTTTCTCTTTCTCTTTTTTAAACCTGCTTTAAAAGATACAATAATATTGAATTAACGTTTTTATATTAGGAAAAAAATACAATCGAGAAACAGTGAAAAAAGATGAAGATAAAGTAAAAAAAAAATGTATTCATCACGCGTGAAAAAACGGTGGAATACGAGAAAAGCACATCTCGCAAAACGACTCGAAAGGGCGGATGTAGAATATAGACGCGCTATTCTCCCTCCTCTCACATGTATCAAGGAAGAAAACGTAGAAAGGCAGGAGCGTACCTAAAGCTAAGTGCCAATCGGCCTTCGAGATATCTGATGGCGGAATTGACGAAGGTAGCGGGCAGAGCGATGGCGAACCATCGTCCGAGCATCAGGCCGAAGCCGCGCACGTCGCGCAACACTATCCTCTTGACGATCTGACCCTCGAGTTCGGCCACGTAGACCGACAGGAAGGTCCTAGCCAGCAACGTCAGCGTCGCGCACGCCAGTAGACCCATTTCTCGGCTTCGCCAGCCCGGCACCATGATCCTCAGCAGCATGATCAGCTGCCGAAGAAAATCGCGATCCAATCCGACCGATGATCTCTGCTTCCCTCCGTTGCCATTTCCGGCAGGGCTGTCGGGAAGACTGTCGCTGGCTTGGAGAACGGTACCCGAGCCATTCTCGTTGCACTTGGCGTGACGTTGATCTCGCTTCCGCATAGACGATTTGAAACAGGTGAGGATGTGCGGATAGGTGAGCTTGAGAAGATAGAGCGCCGCGGCGGTGCCGGCGACGCCGCGCGTCAGCGTCTTCTGCTGCACGCCGTAGCGCGCGGACGCGTCGTCGATCAGCTTCGAGAACACCGACGACATTCTGCGTTATCTTCCTGCCTCGTCTCGTCCCGCCTTCGTCCAAGTTGCGTCGAACCAGTCTCAGCGAATCTCAATAGCGCGCATTTCGCGCCACCGAAAGAATCACGGTGACGATGACGAGGAAGCATCTACGGCTCTGCCGCGAGCCGCACGCGCTCACCTTGGAAGCGCGATCGAGAGGCGCCTCGCTCGATTCAACATAGGTACATACGTGGGTTAGGTTTCGCGAGAGAGCACGCGCGCGCAAACGACCGCTCGGGCCGGCCACCAGCTGGCGACTGATCCGACTCCGACTTCCGACTCCGACTCGACTGACGCGTCTGACGATTGACTTCGCTTGACGCTTGACGCTCGGAGCTCAGTGGCTTACGCACAACTCTCGCAGCCAGCAACCGCAATACGTTCTTTGCGCGAGCGGCCTCCCTCCTCTCGCGACGATTCCCTCATTTTTTGCACTCCAGTAAGCAAATTAAACTCTATCTATTCGCGACGAGACGCAATCGTTCGAATTTGATGACGCGGTATATGATTCATGCGAATGGACAATCTAGATTATTACGTGACTGCGATCTCTCTTACAAAGCAGAGAGAGAATTATTGCAAAATATTTTTAATTTCAACAGTTTTTTTGAAAATTTTAAAAACTTTTTCAATGAGACGATTGCAAAAACTAATCTCACTGTTATTTAAATTTTTATATTTTTTGCGACTGTTTTGCTCGTACATACATCGTTATTTGTTTAAAAACATTTCATAAAGATTGAAACTTTTTAAAAATAATATTTATAATATATTATATAATAATTTATGTATATTTATGTTCCAAATTTTCTTCGTCAGTTTTATTTATATATAAAATATGTGACGTAGTAGAATACACACTTCCTGATGTATGCAAACAGTATTGAGAAAATAGCAATAACTCAGTATACAATTTCATTGAAATTCGATAAAAAGCTGACGTATATATATGATGTATATATTCATGTCTTCAAATTCTGACACATACAAATCTGTCTTCTTTAGAAAAGTTAGTTGCTTCATTTTTTAATTATATATTTGATGTTACTATTTGTATAGATTTAGAATTGAATAAATAGAAAATAACTAAATTTGATGCTTATATAATTAATGTTTTCCTTAATTATACGTTGTTACAACGTATAATTAAATTTTCGCAAAGTAAGGTTTGTAAAGAGCGAATAATAATTAACGGAATAAATAGAACATAAAAACAAGAATATATGCTTTCCGTAAACGCAATTGCATTCTTATTTGCAATTGTATTTAATCGTTCAATTTTTGTCTCGCATCACGCTATTGCAAAGTCAATGCACTGCCCTCATTCATACATGTATAACTGACTGTATCTCTCTTCTTTTTCCTCTCACCTCTCATATTTTGCTAGTTTATCATGTAAAGTTGTCTTTTTATATATTTTAATCATACTAGAACAACACAGGCGCGCGCTTCGCGCGCGCTATTGAGCTATTACATGAAAAAAATAAAATATTCAAATATTTAAATATGCAAGATATATATATAATATATATTCCAATATACATATACTTAATGTTATAATTCAATTTAATAATATTAAATAAATTTAATAATATTAAATAATATTAATAAAATTGAACAACTATATATATATATATATATATATATATATATATATATATATAACTATATATATTTCTTTTTCTCATCTTTCTTCTTTTCGCTACTTTCTTAATAATTTAGCTTTCATTCTTTCCCTCTTAATTTTCCTCTTTATTATTTTATTCTTTCTCTCTCTTATTTCTCCCTTTTCCTTCCTTTCTATCTCTCTTCCTCTCTTTCTTCCTCTCTTTCTCCCTTCCTCTCTCTCTCTCTCTCTCTCTCTCTCTATATATATATATATATATATATATATATATATATATATATAATGCCTTTTCTCTATTTGTTTTTCCGCTTCTTCTATTTTTTTTCTCTTTAACTTTAATTTATTTTATATTTCTTCTTTCCTTAACGTAACAGTCAACCTGTCAAACTGTCAAACTGTCAAACGACACGAATGAAGCAAGTCGCTCAGCAATTTACTATTGACGATAACCAATAACCAATCATCATCGCGGAAAAGAGGCAACAATGTCAATAACATGTCTTTTTTAGAGAAGGAACCAAATCATAAATTACAATGTATGCATGATAAATGACCGAACTGAAAAGAGAATAATATAAATATATAATTTTTCCAACTTTAAAACTTTTATAAATAAATAATTATAATAAAATATTTAATAAAATAAATACATATATTATAAAATATTTAATAATATAAATTATAAAATATTTAATAAAATAAATACATATTTAAATTTATGCACATGTTATATATTATAACTAATACATATTAAAAGAGAGAGATAAATTTGCAAAAGGTACTTAGTCACTTTTCCAACTTATCTCTGTCTTTTAATATTGAAAAAGATAAATAAAAAGAAAAAGAAAAATATTGTTAATCTTTATTTAATTTTATAAATATTTTATAATTATTTAATTTGATTTAAAAATGTTTATCGAGAATATTTTATGTTCCATTAATAAATAATAATAATATAAGGATAATGATAATATTTTTCATTCATATAATCTGCGAAAAGAAATTGGCAATTGTCAATATGCATAACATTTATATTATCTAAATTTCACTTTGATCTTTCATATCAATAGTTGAATTTATTACCACTATCGACGAGAATATCCATTAGCACATTGCTCTTTCGTTTTTTTGATGTATTTATCTATAGTTTTCGGAGACAAAAATACAGTTATTGTCTGTACTAAGGAAGTAAAAAAATATGCTAAGCAAAAATATACAAACTTTATTGTCTTGTTCATTTTATTTTTATAAAAAAGAGAAATCAATGTCTAATGTAAAATATGAAATATTTACATTTAATTGTCTGTTTTATTACTGTCAAAAAAGCTCGGGAAATTATTTGCTCTTGCGATACTTCGCTGTTAATCATTATTCACACAAATCGTAAAATATATTACGTTCAATATTCATAAAAAATATTTCTGCTTATTTTGTATCGCATAAATCGAATATGTCGTGTCAATGTAACTGAGAAATTGTAATTGTAAATGAATTTTTTTGATTAATCAATATTTTTAATTCAGTAATATTAATATTTATTTTTCCTTGAAAAAATGAATATTAATATATTAATGAATTATACACACACATACACACACACACACACACACACACACACACACACACACAGACACACACAGACATATATATATATATATATATATATATATATATATATATATATACAGTACACACAGTTATTTTTAACCTAAATACGTATTTTAAATTGTCCATATTGCATATAACATGAATATTTAAATTATTGGAAAAAAGTACATGCGCGCAGCATTTTGATTATCGTTTAAACTATATAATTTGCAATTGCAAAATGTATCCATTAAAACAATTTTTTTTAAGAATTATGATTTTATTTAATATAAAATAATTTATCTTTACATCTTAATAATATCAATTGCAATGTGTGTGTGTGTGTGTATATATAATATAACCTTGTACTTTTATAAAAAGTTTAAAATATATGTATCGCACATACATTAAATATCGACATGCAAGTTATGCCACGGTTAGGTTAAGTTAGGTGGTTACATATGAATTTTATTTTTCTTATGAGTCACTAGATATGAATACGAGTTATACATTCCGTTTTCGATATGAATACGAGTTATACATTCCGTTTTCGACTACAATCAAGTTTTTATTTTTACGAATATGAAGCTTCATGAAAGTGTCTTTTTTACCTTCATTGCCATGTTATTTAAATTATTTTATACGAAATATGCTTTTTTACCATGAATCGATGGCGAATGCTCTAGAATTAATTTACATAGCATTATATCTATTAGTATACAATATACATATACGCGTTATCTCCTTCTATTCAATCAAATATCAATTAATTAATCCTTTCTTTCTCTTTTACAAGATGGCTATATGTGTTTATTATGAGAAACTTTATGTGATTAAAATAACATATTTAAATATTATATTTTTTATGTGTGCGTGTAATAGTATATTATATGTATACGTATGTGTGTGTGTGTGTGTGTGTGTGTGTGTGTGTGTGTGTGTGTGTGTGTGTGTGTGTGTGTGTGTGTGTGTGTGTGTGTAACACTAATACGGACAAATGTAAGTAATAAAAGTAATTATAGCAAACTGTTTATTATGATTTTATCTTTATTTTATGTATTACGTATTATAGCTATTGTATTCTAGCTTCTATACTAACTATATTCTAGCTGTTTACTTTATGCAAGAATATATCAACGAATTGAATATATCACCGCAATGCAAATTTGCGTGTGCAAACAAATTCATTGATGACAAAATACAAATGCTATAACACATGATAATGGGATCAAAGAGCCATTGTATGCAATCGTTTTTTAAGCATCGGTTGCTATAAATAATTCATACTTGCGTTTCATCAACTAAAGTCCTGTTATTTTCTACTATTTATTCGTTTGATTTGACATATAAAAGTAAAATACTGTATATGCAAGAATTAATTATTGTTTATCTTTTTTATTTTCATTATTGTTAGATTCAAAATTTTGTATATTTAAATAATAATAAAACGAATTCTGAAATAAATCATTATATAAATATTTCGAGATATGACGAGATTAAATAAATATGTGAATGGATTATTGTACACATATTAAATGAAAATTAGTAACAATTTTTGTAATAGTAAAATGTATAACAGTAAAAAATAAATAGTTAAAAGTCTAATTTGCTATAAAAGTTTGAAAATTCTTAAAAAAATCATTTTATTGCAAATTACATTTCTAAGATTTTGTGTAAAAATAGTTAATAATATGTTAATTATATAATGTTTTTGTAAATGCAAATAACGTTTTCGAAAAGATGTTGAGAAAATACTTGAGACATTACACAAAGAAAACATATACGTATGTCTATGTTTATGTATATCTCTACAAGTAAATATTGTACCTATATTAAAATGTAAATATTGTACCTATATTAAAATGTTAATAATCAATTAATATTAATATGAAATGTAAGTTAATTAACTATGTTAATTATTATTAATATTAGCCGCGACCGTGTATCTTTATGATATTTACGTGCGTCATTATTACTAATGCATATTTATCTTTAATGAGAATGCGATAAAGACATTGTAACTGCTAAACGACAAGAATTTATGACAAAAGACTTGCCAATGCAAAAAGAAAATAATAATTCTCTGGAAAATTTATTGTTTTTTAGTTTAGAATTTTTTAAAAATTTGGTATATATATTGAGGAAATCT